GAGGGAGAGAGGCGAAGATATTTAAAATAGTGAGGGCAGAGCAAAGCCAAACAAACAATCACTCACCACGCAAACACTCACAGGACAGAAGCAGAGCTCAAATACCTCTGTAAAGAATTATGTAGAGCATGCAACCGTAATGAGATTACAAAGTATAATGAACATATTTATAATAGACTTAATAGGAACATTCTGGGTTAAAAGCAACTTAAGTTTACTTGACAGCATCTGTGATATGCTGTATTTCATCACAGAAAATTATTTCGACTCGTCCTTGGGTTTGCATTAAAGTTTTACAAAAGAAATAGAAATAAAAACAGTGTTGCACTTTTGTTGCTGCTAAATGGTATAAATAAGAATAGTTTTACAAACTTTACAAGTTACACCTAAATTTGTTCTGTAAAAAAAAAAGTGTTTAATGCAGCATGATGCAGCAATTTGCATAAAAATGGTTTAAGTTTGTATTTGTGTGACAATTTTGTAAGAATGGTTTTACAAACTTTACAATTTACACCAAAATGTGTTTTGTAAACAAATGTGTTTTAATGCTGCATGATGCAAAAACCATATGTACGAATGGTTTTATGAACAATTTAAACCAAAATGTATATTTGTGCTAGACAACGAGACGGTTTACCTAAGAATACTTTACCAAACTGTAAAATTTACACCAAAATTTGCTCGGTAACATTTAAAGCAGAAATTTGTTCTGTAAACTAATGGTGTAAAAGAGTTCATGCAAAAATGGTTTTATGAATAAGCAAAATATGTGTGTTCTGCACAACACGATTATGAACAATTTAAACCAAAATTCATATTTGTGCTACAGAACAAGAAAGTTCACATAAGAATAGTTTTATAAGCTTTACAATTTACACCAACATTTGTTCTGTAAAAAATGTGTTCTAACGGTGCATGATGCAACAATTTACATAAGAATGGTTTCATTTTATATTTGTGTTACAGAGCAAGACAGTTTTGTAAGAATAATTTGACAAACTTTACAAGTTATGCTAAAATTCATATTTTAAGACAGTTTACATAAGAATACTTTTAAGAACTTTACACCGGCATTGCATGAAACAATAATTAATCCAAAAAATATATTTGAAAAATATTTTACACAGAATTTTTTGTAAATTTACATAAGAATGTTTTTTGAACAATTATATCTGTGCTAGACGACAAGAAATTTGTTCTGTAAACAAGTTATGTAAAAATAGTTCTATGATCTATGAATTAAAGTTTGTGTTCTTCACAACGAGATTGTTTTATGAAATTCATAATTTGCACCAAAGTTCTTTATGTAAACAAATGTGTTTTAATGCTGCATTATGGTTTTATGAATAATTTAAACCAAAAGGTATATGTGTGCTACAAAACCAGACAAGTTTACCTAAGAATAGTCTTAGAAACTTTACAATTTACACCAAGATTCATTCTGTAAACAAATGTGTTAACACTGCGTGATGCAACAATTCTGTTTTTTTAACATTTTAAACCAAAATGCATATCTCGGCTTCACAGAAAGGCAGTTTATTTAAGAATAGTTTTCCCAACTTTACAATGTACACCAAAATTCGTTCTGCAAACAAATGTGTTAGTGCTGTATGATGCAACAATTTACGCAAGAATAGTTTTTACGAACAATTTATACAGAAACTCAGTCTACTTTGTGTTTCAAATGAGTCCCATCATGGGGAATCTGAGTTTCACGCTTCATGCGACTATACAAATTAAATTTTTTAAACGGGAAAAAAAAACTGTGAGCAGGAATTCTGAGCAGTTTGGGTGGCGAGCTTTCTTCGCAGCTCCAGGTAATGGCACGAGTTTCCCACCTCATTCACACTGTGAGTACAACCCTGTGGTTCTCACAGTGCAGGCTTGGCACATGAATTTAAGAACAGGTGCCAGCCCAGTGTCACCTCTACAGAAGATTAGGAAGGATTGGCCGTGGAGCGCACTGCTCAGGACTCTGCAGTGGTCATCACGGGCACCTCCGACGGGCACTTTGAGGTCTTGCCACATGGCATGCACACGCACAGTGAACACAAAGGCAGCCCTATGGATTCTCACCTCGAGTAAAGTGTCAACTGGCATGCGGCGTGGCACACCTGCACCTAACGGATGGCCAAAATCAGCTTTATTCAACAATGTCTGCATTTATAAGTTCACAGTGAGTTTAACATATTAATTCAGTGTAGCGTCTCGACCAATCTGACACACTAATTTTAATTTGATTTAACGTAACAGATATTATATGCGTAGGCTATGTATATCTTGAATACACAGTCTAAATGTGATTTTACTCAGCTAAAAGTACTATTAAAATACTACTCAGTAAAATAGATAATAATGTAAATCCAGAGTTGTACATTAATCACGATTAATCGCATCCAAAATAAAAGTTTTTGCTTACATAATATATGTGTGCGTACTGTGTATAATTATTATGTATATATAAATACACACACATGCATGTATATATTTTGAAAATATTTACATGTATTTACATGCATATATGTATAGTCATATAATTTATATAATTTATACATATATTTAATATATAAACATAACATATTTTCTTAAATATATACATGCATGTGTGTATTTATATTTACATAATAAATATACACAGTACAGACACATATATTATGTAAACAAAAACTTTTATTTTGAATGTGATTAATCGCGATTACTCGTTTGACAGCACTAATTAATATACAATATATCTATATTTATAAATACATATTAGTAAAATAACAAATTATAATTACATAATTAATAATAAAATTTGCAAAAACACACAACTGTAAACAAACAGCAAACTGAAAATTTAAATGGTAAAAATAAAAATATCAATTAAAAAATTAATTCAAATTACACTTTATACTGTATATATATATATATATATATATATATATATATATATATATATATATATATATATATATATATATATAGAATCAATATTCATAATTATTTAAACAATAGCATGTCAAATCAAATTACTGTACTACATTTATTTATTTATTTATTTTCTTACTAAACTAACCTCATTGTATCTGCCAGGTGACTGTTATATTGAAAACAGGAATTCAGAGCGTTCACATCAAAACAACGCTCCTGTTCATTCGTACATATGATTTCTAGAACATTTTGCCCAAAGCTCTTTATCTTTGATGGTTTGGATGAGGGCTTCTTCGTAGTTTAGCCATAGTTCTGTAAAGGTCACCGTATGCATCAAACTTTTCAGCTGTCCTTTGTAAGGTGAACTTTACTTGCATAAAAGAAAATTGTTGGGAAATGTCAGCTACTGGATATGGATCTGTCAACATATGGCTGGATGTGACATATATTTGAATAGCGTGATCCAGTAATAAGACTTGAGACTGACACTCACTTTATACTGTAAAAAAATGTATTACAACAACTGAACCTTTTCTCAATACAGTTCTGATATCTTATGTGGTGATTCCCAGTACATTCTAGTGAAGTGTAAGACATTTTGCCGCAGTATAGACCATTTTCAGCAACAAATAAGCTCAACATGGCGCCCGCAGTAATACCTGCTTGTGCGTTTGTGCCCCTGAAGAAAACAGCTGCGGCGGACAAGATCTAAGTCTCTTTAAAGCACCATCCTCCACCTCTCATCCTGAGAAAATCTGTCTTTTGGGAGGAATATTTGCGGTACGCCCTGTCCTTGCCTCAACCTGGCTTTTGAGGTCAGGAAAAGCTGAATAACAAGCACAATCTTGTCTATGATGTGGAAATTAGCTACTCACTGCCACTTTTAAATAGACGTCACTGTTAAGTGAAGTGTCTAAGTATATTTCAAAACATGTCCTCAGATAACACTAAACCCAGCACAGTGGAGTCAAGAACACACTGAATAAATATGATTCTGCTGTAGAACCTTCTTATTCATGGAATGAATAAGATTCACATCTACAAGCAAAATGATTGTACATTTATTGTCAAATAAAGTAAAGTAACACTGTATGTTCTGGGAACATTTCACAAATGTATCAGTGCTGCATGATGCGCCAATATATGCAAAAATGGTTTTATGAAAAATTACTCACAGAAATTAGTTTTGTAAACAAATATGTTTGCGCTGCATAATGTAGCAATTTACATAAGAAAAGCTCTTTGTCAGCACTCAGTCGTTAAGATTCAAGTTGACAGGCAAAATCTTCCTATTTATCCAAATGGAATTTTATATTAGAGATAACATTTAGTGATATTCAGTTCAACTCAAAATTGCAATTTATTCGTAAAATCTGGCAACTGGAACCTTATTCAGAGATAAGGTTTGTATCCTTTGTTGTCGCTTAGATCCTTTTATTGTCTATTCGTTCTGATATTTATTTCATGAAATGGTATTCACAACCAATTTTACATTAGGCATATTTTGGAGTATTTTAAAAAGGCAGCATTGCCTCACAACAATACAAACAATAGCCCACGCGGCCTTTGAGTGAACACTGTAGAGAGAGTCCCTTGCTGCTAAAATTTAGAAAGATCACTGCTACATATTTACAACCAGTCAAAGGCCAGTTATTGTAAAATGCATGTATTGATTTCATTTTGTAGCACAGGAAAAAAAAAAACACTTTCTCTGTAAACAAGAGAACTATTGCAAGGTAAGATTTCATTTTTGTCTGGCAGTCGATGTGCCTCATTCAGTGAAATTATATAGAGATGTCAATTTATTACAAAGTAATCAGTAATAAATAATAATAATATATTTTTTTTAAAGTGAAAGACATGGTTGCATTTTATCATTTGAATTTAGCACAATTTTTCCCTGCTTCCTGTGGCTGTATCAAAACAGGCACGGGTCACGACCTACAAGTGGAAAACCACAGTTCAACAGTAGATCTTTGTTGTTTACTTGACATTCAAACAGGGTCACTGTAGATCAACAAGGAAACAAACTGCACACCAGATGCATTGTAAAATCCATATTACTGAGTATGAAAAATTAATCAGTTTACCTTGATTGTGGGTTTCTTGGTGGAAAATCCTCGGTACCATCCTGTAACAGACAAAATACAAATGTTAATTGAGAAACATTTACATTCTAATAATAATAATAATAATAATAATAATAATAAATGAAATACCCACAAATCAGACTTACATTAAAAATAAAAAAAATAACGTGACGTAACAAGTATGCACTATATAGAAGCCCATTTCCACCACTGAATTAAAAAAACAATTATAAAGCTAATTGCAACTTTTTATCTCACAATTCTAACTTTTTTTCTCGCAATTGCGAGTTTACATCTGGCAATTCTGTCTTTTTTCTAAGAATTGTGAGATATAAACTCACAATTGCGAGTTATAAATCCAGAATTGCTTGATTTAAAGTCAGTATTGCAGGCTACAAACTTGCAATTGTGAGTTATAAAGCCAGAATTGTGATACATGAACTGGAAATTCTGACTTTTTTTTCTCAGAATTGTGTGATAAAAATTCGCAATTTCAAGTTATTACGTCAGAATTGTGAGATTTAAACTCACAATTTAATAACAATAAACTGTTTCCCTCTCAGAACTGGACTTTATAATTTGCAATTGCGAGTTTATATCTCACAATTCCGAAAAAAAAAAAACTTCAAAATTGTGAGATTAAAAAGTCGCAATTATCCTTTTTTCTTTTTTTTTTAATTCAGTGGCAGAAACGGGCTTCCATAGCACCAGTGTGCAATGACCAAAAATAAATAAATAATCTCAGACAAAAAAGAACTGTTCAGATGAAATATGACAGGCACTCAATAAATGTGTAGCGCTCCCTATGATCAAAAGGTCAATTTAAAGTGTATTTGGGGGCATCTTACTCAAGTGGGTGTCCTGGCCCATGTAGCTTTATACATCTGTAATATTCACCCATGACATACATATCCAAATATCAGTTATTTTTGTCAACATACTGAACTGTATGCTGGATGCACACATACACTTGACTTTTTGACTCTGAAAAAGTGCTTCACTGCATCCCTAATGCATCGAATCGCATTTTCACAGCAACTACGCCATGTTGAAGGCCATATTTTTTAGATGAGGTGGAACATAAAGGCTGGAACTTATAGTACACTAAGGTCTGGGCCATCAATTTCACTGGCTGATGTCCAGAACATCTCAGAAATATTCTGCCTCCCAGCAGATTCACCACACTGCTGCAGAACCCCACCAACATCATAATAAGCCTTCAGTCCATAATAAACAAGCTCAAAACATTCAAGTCTCTGCACAGTATGTCACCTTATTATTACAGTAAGAAAGCCAGCTGCTAGCAACTCTAGCCGCATAAAGGGCTACATAATGACACATTAAATCATGACTAAATAGTCGCCTGGAGTAATAACACTTCTTTATTCTACACTGCTTGCTCAGCAAGGCTTTTTATAACATTTTCAAACTAACTTTTTAATGATAAAGATGAAGAGCAAACATTTTTGATGTGGTTAAATACTTTCATCCATTGGTTGATTTCCCAGGACAGTATAAACTGTGGCGAATTCAAAACATTGCTTTGTTTGTTTAATCAACATAGCAACAAGAGATCAACCAATGGCATGAATTTAGGGTGGGACTATCTGACCAATAACAAATGAGGGGTGTGTTCAGGAAACCTGTTTGAAACTCTTCATTGTGTAAATCATCTTATTGCAAAAAGTAGTACAACCACAAGGTCTGAAGATTTTGATATTAAAATAAAAGTTAATTATTCAGTTCGTGAATTAAAACAACATGGAAACAAGATATGTTTTATACAATCGCTGCTGAGGAAGACTGGGGGTAAAAACATTAAAGATGTTGAAGGTGATACAACAAATACTGCAGGTAACAAATACACTGTAATACAACATCATGTGATAAAGTATGAATAAAGTGTATACCAAATAATTTTCATGAAAAAGGCTTCACCAAATACAGCAAATACATCTATATATGTATTTCTCCACTTTCTGTATTTTTTCTCACACTATTTGTCTGTGAATAAAAATTAGCCTTGGCCACATCATCTACCAAATTATTCCCTGGCTTTTCTCTGCTTGAGGATTTCTCACTTAATTAGAGCATAAATAACCGGTACCTCCCCTGAAGCTAAATCATTAGCTATTAGCAAAGACCTATTATGGCAACAAAAAAAAATTCAGCAGCAACAGCAACCCTGACTAATATCAATCCCTTTCTGAAGAAAAATGCCCCAAAAAATGATGCCACAAATCTGCTGCTCTGGATGGTTGCTAAAGTGTTGCTATGCAGTTGTTAAGGTGTCTTGAGTAATGTTAGCATGTTGCTATGCCAATAGGTGTTCTGAGTAATTGCCAGGGTGTTGCTATTCAGTTGCTAAGTTGTCTTGAGTGATGAAAACATGTTGCTATGCCAATAGATGTTATGGGTGGTTGCCATGGTGTTGCTATCATGCAGTTGCTAAGGTGTCTTGAGTGATGTTAGCATGTTGCTATGCCAATATGTGTTGTAGGTAGATGCCAGGGTGTTGCTATGCAGTTACTAAGGTGTCTTGAGCAATGTTAGCATGCTGCTATGCCAACAGTTGTTATTGGTGGTTGCTAGGGTGTTGCTATTGTAACTGAAACACTATGCTGTTTGTTAAGGTGTCTTGAGTGATGTTACCATATTGTTATGTTGATACTAAGGTGCTCTGGATGGTTGTCAGTGTGTTGCTATGCAGTTGCTAAGGTGTCTTGAATGATGCTAGCCTGTTGCTATGCCAATAGGCTACTAAGGTGTTCTGGATAGTTGCTAAGATGTTGCCATGCAGTTTGTTAAGGTGTTTTGAGTGATGTCACCATGTTGCTATGCAGATACTATGGTGATCTGGATGGTTGCCAGGGTGTTGCTATGATGTTGCTGTCTTGAATGATGTTATCATGTTGCTATGCCAACAGTTGTTATTGGTGGTTGCTAGGGTGTTGCTATGCTATTGCTTAGGTGTCTTGAGTGATGTTACCATGTTGCTATGCAGATACTAGGGTGTTCAGGATGGTTGTCAGGGTGTTTCTAAGTCATTGCTAAGGTACACTGTGGGATGTTAGCACATTGCTTTGTCTATACTACTCATTACTTATTTTACTAGACACTTAGCAGTATTAGCATACTATTTCAGAGATGTAAAAACACTCTTCAATATTACACTATTTAATATGCAGGCCTTATCAAGCCTGACTAACTATGTAATGGCGGGACATTTGGACTTGGTAGAGAATCTGTGGAAAACGGGAAGTGAAATTGTTGGTGTGTGTGATGCAATCATTCATGTAGCCATTTGTAAACAATCTGCTGTGACAACCATGGAAAATATTCATAAGCTTGGCTGCTAACGTCACTCACACCTGTGGCCATCTGTCTCGAATGCAACCCAGACTCTGCCGTATTAATCATGGCAGTCTATCTTTGTTAGTATTCTCCCCAGGTGCATCTTGAAAATGGAGGAGGTGCACTTTGTAATTAGCTATTTGGTTTATGCGAGGAATGAGCGGGACACGTCAGTCAATGTTAGCCGTTTTTATTGTCACTTTCCATTTAGCACCACAACGAACCATGCTATTAGCTAATGAACAACATTTGGACGTCGCACATTGGTCTTGTATCAGCTTGTGTGACACAAATTGGCATTGGGTCCACATGAGTGTCAATATATTTATAGCATATTAGCAATGTGGAAATGATTTAGCCGTTAGCTTGCTACAAGCTGATGCACAGTAGCTAGCAAACCAGATGTTGAGGTCTCCTCTAGAGAAGAATCCATACCTAAACAACCACAAAAAGTTGTCAGTGCTGTATACAAACAGTGTTTGTGCTAGAGGCCGACTGTAGGCATTAGCTGTGATAGATTAGCAGACGGCTCATGTTTGCTGGCGTGAGGCTTCCATGTGAACACGAGGAAACTCAGCATCAACACACAGCTGCCAACAAACAAACACCTGATGAAATGTGTCATCTCTGTCTCTGTCTCTCAACAGGTTTAGACTGCAGGGACGTGTTGAGCTGTCAGATTGTTCATGCTCACAGCTGTGGTGGTGACATGTCTATCTCAAGAGGTTTTGCTCTTTAGAGTGCCACACCCTTGTGAGATTAACACTAGACAACTGCTGTCTGTCTGTCTGTCTGTCTGTCTGTCTGTCAGACTATCTATTATCTACATGTCTGTCTACTAGTCTGACTACATACATACTAACTACTGTATCTGTCTATCAGTAAATGTATTTGTCTGTCTATCTATCTATCTATCTATCTATCTATCTATCTATCTATCTATCTATCTATCTATCTATCTATCTATCTATCTATCTATCTATCTACCTGCCTGCCTGCCTGCGTCTGTCTATCCTACCCCTTCTTGTTATATTCCATTCAAGCTCTTTTCAAGCCTAGAGTATATTGAGTCTCTTTTGTGAAAATGTCTGTGTTGGACTGGGGGCTGTTTATAGTTAAAAGGAAACTCCCAATGAGCATAAACAGTCAAATATCCTGTCAAGTCTTCAGACATACTGTACACTTCTCCCTCAAGTTCCCAGTGGATGACACTGCAAAATCTTCAGTTCTCAAAACAGAGCGTTCCAATCAGACCACTGGCCACCGCGACACTCCAGAACCCGGAGCTTTGAAAAGCTTTGATTTCCCATGCATTCTCAAAAGCATGGCACTGCAGCAAAACAATCGATACGTACAGCAAACTGCTAACCCCGTGAATCAGAGCACTGATTATCCCAGCCCTTGAGGCCAAAGCCAAAACTCTCACCTCACCTGGTAACCTGCAGCTAATCCACTGTCCAATACACACAATCTGTTTGTCTATCCATACGCATTTCTTGTTTCTTTGAACATGAAAGGAGAAATCCTGAAGAATGTTCAAGTTGCTATTTCTGCAGAATGAAAGTAGACTGTGATTTTTATTATGAAGCACCAAAAAGACCCTCTATCTGTACTGTAACTGCAGTTCCAAAAAAAGTCAGGAACTGACTTTACAATAAGCAAATCAATTGCACCCAAGACTACTTAA